TGTGGAAGAAATCAAGATGGGTGTGGAAGAACGAAAGACCTCATTCCTCCTCTAGCACCTGGTTGTTGAAGAATTCCCATCTGCAAGCAAAGCATCATGGAAGTAGTCGATCTCCTGGCGTGTCTCAAGTCTTAGGTCCGTGGCTCAACGAATCCCTGATTCCTTTGAATCACCGATGGGAAAACTCCTACATTGGCTCCAACCGTACCCGCGGCCGTCCTTGGGATTGATGCCGCCAGGAACGCTAATGCCCAGCTGTCCCAGCTCATCCATCCAATGTCCAGGTCCCATACGGCTGGCCATCACTCCACTCTGTCCCAGTTTCCTCGCTCAGGTGCTGGTGTGCTCAAGACGAGCAAATTGTATGCAACACTCAACCTTCCTGTTACCACCAAGTTTGTTGCCTTTGGCTGACCTTTCCCAACAAGCACTCTGTTTTTACCTCAACAAGCACAACCTGTTCATCATCAAACAGACAACACCCAGCCGCGCGGCATTTGCAATTCCCGGGTCGGATACTCACCTGAGCACTGCAAAGAAGAACTGTCAGCTACACATCAGGCATCTTAAGCAGAAGCCCATGCTGCATGCTGCGAAGACCAAAAATTGCATGCACAAAAAAGCATCCCAGCCCTCCAACTAAGCTCATCCCCTTAACTGTCCGCCTAGTGTTGCACCCCGGGGGTTGAACCCGGGTCCGACGCATCATAGGCATCATCATAGCCACTAGACCGGCCCGGTTTACTTGCCTTTACAATCTCATCGTCCAGGGCGCCCTTGAGGTCTGCGGCTGCCGCGATGGGCACCAGCTCGGCGTTCACAAAGTCTTGAATGCCCTGAGTCGTAAGTAATTGCATGGTGATTTGCACTGGGATGACAGGGACGCCTGGAATGACTGGCATGATTACAATGGAGCAAAAGAAAAGCACATCTTGGCATGTGAGCACTCAGCATGCGAGCACTTCAAGGTCTTGGAATGGAGGCCATGGAGACAGTCTAGAAAACACTTTCTTGAAGACTCTCGCAATTATTGTGATCTGCCCATGGCAGCGCCGCTCCTTCATGAATTTCTTGTGCGACTCCGTGTAGAAGGGCGACTCCTCTCCACGTTTGCAGGTGCCACCGGCAAGCATTTGGCTCGAAGGGGCACCCAAGCCCATTTGTCTGCCCACCAGGTCCAACCTACTTTTACAGGTGCAATGATTTGGTTTCACGTCTGTTTTCGATCTCCTGTCCCTGAAAGGCCGGGATCTCTGCAAAGGGAACGCCCTTGGTGCCAGTGGTCACTTTGACATGATCGCCCTCCAGCTTCCCCACCTGGCTGTGGTCCAGTCGTGACTTTTTCAATGCAAACCTCTGCATCTTCAATCCCGCTGTCCTTCCCTCCCCCTGTAGGCCCTGTGCCCCATTTTGTCTGGCCTTCAGGCGTTCATACTTCCCAAGGACGTCATGCCGGTGCAGTTCGTAAAACTCTTCTGTGACATCCTTTCCACCAACCTCCTGCAAGTCACTGTGGCTACCACAGTCAACACCTCTGATTATAACGGCGGCCTTTTCAGTCGTCTGCGTGTGTGGCTCCTCCAAGACTTTCGCTCCTCCGGGATGAAGCTGCGCAAATTTGGAGACCTCAGACGTGCTGTGCAAATTACGGCCCATTTTCTGTTATTTTTGGACGTATCGAAATCAGCCAGGTGTCATCATAAACATCGCCATTGATCGCAAGCCAAATGTCACCTGCATCGAGAAAGATTTGGTTTCATCCTGCTGGCTCGTACAAAACCTAAAGGGACATTGAGTAGCTTGGCAATTGTCTCCACCAAAACCATTTACTCATATATAATATAGGAAGGTTCACCAACCGCCTGGCTTCTGGTGCTGTGCCAGCTCCGAGGAAGTGATGGTTCGTGCCATGGCGGAGTCTCTGAAAGGCTGTGGCTACGAAAATGTTTCCGGTGTGCGCCGTGTCAAAATGCAGTGGCAAGTGGCAAAGCAAATCTGAGGAATGTCTGTTCTTAAGGCTGCGGTTCAAGTGACATGCGAAGCAGAATGATCGCAATCCCACTCAGCATGGACTCAACCCCAACTCAAGTCTATGCCTGCAAAAAGCAGCAAGTCCTAGTGAAGAATCTTCCGTCGCAGTGCCTTTCTGAAGTTCTTGATGTGTATGATCTTCAGCACCACTTCAGTGCCTCCGCCGATTCAAGTGGAATCTTCGCAAGTACCCAGGTCCGGCCATGTCTGGTCCGCCTGAGATTTGATGGATACTGGCAAAAAGGAAGGACACGGATGGATCCCGCAACTGGAGCCAAACGTTGAAGAACAAACTCTAGACCGAATTAGAATTTAACACCTCCATCAAATTGGTTCAATTGGGGTGCACGTCGCAAAGTTTTCCAACGAAACGCCTTTCAAAGCTTGAAGTGTTCAAGGTGAAGGTGTTTGAGTTCATCGAACCCCGTACCATCAAACAGGACGGCCCGCACAATCAGATTCTGCCATAGCCCAAATGTTTCTTTTTACGTCGACTCCTTGGTGCAAAAGAGCGGGGATAAGTGTCATGAGAAAATCAGCCAACGAAAAGCTGTATCACTGCATTCGTAACCACAAGAAAGCATACCTGGACAAGGCGGCGGCAAAAGGGAAAGCAACACAAGGCCCGGACAATGCGGTGATCACCGGGCCAACAATGAGGACAAGCAGGACAGACACACCCGGACTAGGCCTGGACAAAGCCCTCACCAGGCAGAGAACAAAGGCACCTGAGCAACGTGGGTGTGTCACGGCCTTTCAGGGCCCAGCTCCTTCACACAGAGCATACAGTCAAAACAAAAAGCTGTCCTATCAGGGCCAGCTTTCATCCAACATGTTCAAAAAATCCGCCAGGCCCAGCTCTTCAGCCGGCTCGAACCTTGTCGGACATGTGGGCTCCATCGACCGGGCCACCATGCCCCGACTCGGCAACTCAGCAACTCAGTATCCAGTGCTGCTGCACCCTCTGGAGCGGCTCCATGGAAAGAAGGATCCAAGGCCATGAGCTGAGCATCCATCATCTTGGGTGAGATCAGCAAACCTAGAGGCCACGACTAATTTAGAGCAGGCACGATTGTCAAAGGCGCATATCTGGGCCCTGATGCCTCTCACCAGCTCCCAAGTTCCGTCATCAGTCCATGAGCTACCAGAGGTATCAACTTCCAAGGCTCTGTGGCCACTTCCAGAACAGGCACCAAACGGACGGACTACTCAATACAATACCCACGGACTGTTCGTTTTCTGGTTGACCGCCGAAAAGCGTCCCGAGCCATCGACCCCTCGGCAGCCAGAGACATTTGGCATACCACACAAGCACAAACTCGCCATTCCGAATCAACCTGCCTGCCCATCAAAAAACGGCAGGTGTTCTCATACAAACCACGCAAGACCTTCAGAGGGCATCTGGTCGATATGCCTGATAGATACTGCTCCACACTCAGCGGCACCCACCGGTGGTTGTCTAACCCATAAACCCGGGGGACTGACAACAAGAAAGCTACCCGGGCCACTGTCAGCTTCACCCGAGCCATCACTATCACCACATATCACCACTATAGTGTGTCGCTGCTATGGACATGAGGGGCAATATGGCACAGGCACTTGCTGTCCAATCCAGTGCAGTGAGAGTTTGGCGGCACAGAAGAGTAAGGGAGGCACGGGAGCTGCACCTCAGAGGAGGAATGCAATGCCTTTCTTTCAGGGCAAACAATTGAAGAAAGTCCGCCGCCTCTGGCCATTTGCATGCGATGGAGACTCCAAATATCGCCATGACAGGCGTCATTTAGTCCTCAGCTAAAATCACTTGCGGAGCAAAAAACTAGCCGTTTTGCGATCGATAAAGGCCAAGCAATGGCTTCCAGTGGCAGCCACTACACCACCTCCAGCGCCACGACAGTGGGGGTCGAAGACTCTGCACAAGACAATTCACGGCCAAGAGGAACTGACCCTGGAGACGTCCATCATCGGAGAAAAAACGAGTGGCAAACTCGACCACGCAATTTGTGTGTTCCCTCGAGATCGTGCTCGCATCGCTCGCTAAGAACAGAAAATTAAGGTACATGAAGGTAAGAAGAGTCAGCACTTGTACAAGACAGAAGGTAAAACCGTGCAGAGAGTCTACAAGGACGGGATTATTCCGGGATGCAATAAAACAGTCACCGGGCAAATTTGAATGTTGTTCTCATGTCCTTCATGATGAGTTCAAAGTTGCCCTGCGGGAGGGAGCAATGTGGTATTCTAAGCAAACAACCAGTAGGCACATCAGCCAATTCTAGCCTGGTCTGAGCTGGAAACCAAAACCTCCAGCAAACTTTGTTCGCCAACGCGCACAATTGGCCAGTGGTGGTGGCCCCTCGGCAATCGACTTCCCGAGAGGAGAGCAAAGTATGCTTCTTCGGACAACGAGGCGGCAGCTATCTCTCCCATGCTCCGTTGTGCACCCAGGACACGAAACGTAACTGTCTAAAGTCTAAAGCCTTACAAGCTTGTGCCTGCGCCAACACGGCAAACACCCTGCCAAAAAGATCCGGCCCAAAGAACTTCGCAGCCCAAGACGTGCCCACGGACAAAAGACATGCCTACAGAAAAACAGTCTGCACTTGAAACAGCCGACCAACAAAAACACCACGTCTGCCAAATGCCCATCACGTCACCACGCCTGAACAGGCTAATCTAGCGGGGGGGCCCCCAACCTGGAACAGAATCTCTTCTTACAGGACCCAACTCCAGGCACAGCACCTGATTGTCATGCATTTTTGCTGAAACAAGGAGAACTCAGGTGCTTAAGGCTCCTTTCGTGAATTGCGGATCTCAGACCGAGCTTCTCAGCTTGAACAGAACATCCACCGTCAAGCAGCAGGAACTTTCAAACGCCCACCCAAACGATGCAAGGATGCGCTCTTTCAGTTTCATGGAAAGTAGAACAATGACCATTTGGAGAGTCTGAACACACTTTGGACACGTCTTTCCACAAACACAACGAACCCTCAGGACTGAGACGCTGTTTCTTTTGAAGGCCCACAAGTCGGAAGGCAAGGCAGGGGCACGGTCCAGTTTCCAGTTCTCATAAGGATTGGGCACCCGCAGAAAGGAGCAGACATTGACTAAAATGCCAAGTGCAAACTCTCAGAGGTGGAAGTGTTTCTCAAAGCTCAATTTGCGAGAGCAGAGACCTGCGGAAAACACAAATATGCCTGGTTTCACAAGGACACTACAGGTGTCGCAAGTTTTATGATGTCGTTACCAAGATCACTTTTCCAGAAGGACTCCCGATCACACAAAATGTTCTTGCCTCAGCGCTTGGTCTATTTCAGGCGCACAGACTTCCGTGGAGGACACCAAAATCCAAATCTAATTGTTTAGCCCATCGCTGTGCGCATTGCACCGAAAACGGAACCGATCTCAACGCCAAGGGCCTTTCAATCCGCCACGGCCTTACCTAAGTCTGGCCGCCCCGAGCCTTGTTTTGTTTCCTGGGCGTGCCTTGAGGTCAAGCCTCGCATCGCTGAAAATTGCACAAAAGAAGTGAACAAGGTGAAATTAGCCAACCGGACTTCACATCAGCTGTTCAAGTCTTCGAAGTCTACTTCAGGAAAAGGACTGCGAGAGGTTCTACCCTGTACAATTTTGTTGGCATTCTGTGCAGTTTCGATCGAACCTTTTCTCACGTCTTGAAATTACTGCCTTCCAGCGATGCAAGAGCAGGCTGCAGTGAAAACGCAAAGGCTTTGCAGATTGGCACAGCCGAACTCTCTTGGAAAGGATAGAACAACCCCACAGAGCGGTAGCAGGGCATCAGACGCACCCAAGTTCCAGCACAGCGCGAGTGAAGGAAAGTTCCCAGAGTAAGGTTTGAGTTTGGGTTGCATTGGAACTCCGAACTCTGGGTTGGCCCCCTGGGGGGGTGTGAATTGTGAAGAGTTGCCAACATTCATATGTACGTAACCATTGT